TCCAGGTCTGAGTTCAGGTCCTGGATATCCTTGTTGATTTTCTGTCTGGTTGATCTGTCTAATATTGACAATGGGGTGTTAAAGTCTCCCACTATTATTGTGTGGGAGTCTACGTCTCTTTGTAAGTCATTAAGAACTTGCCTTATGTATCTGGGTGCTCCTGTATTGGGTGCATATAAATTTAGAATCGTTAGCTCTTCTTGTTGCAGTGATCCTTTTACCATTATGTAATGTCCTTCTTTGTCTCTTTTGATCTTTGTTGCTTTAAAGTCTATTTTATCAGAGATGAGAATTGCAACTCCTGCTTTTTTCTGCTCTCCATTTGCTTGGTAGATCTTCCTCCATCCCTTTATTTTGAGCCTTTGTGTATCCTTGCATGTAAGATGGGTTTCCTGGATACAGCACACTGATGGGTTTTGGCTTTTTATCCAATTTGCCAGTCTGTGTCTTTTGATTGGGGCATTTAGTCCATTGACATTTAGGGATAGTATTGTTATGTGTGAATTTGATGCTGTCATTTTGATGCTACCTGGCTGTTTTGTTGGTTAGTTGATGCAGATTCTTGATTGCGTTGATGCTCTTTTACCATTTGGTATGTTTTTGGAGTGGCTGGTACTGGTTGTTCCTTTATATGTCTAGAGCCTCTTTCAGGAGTTCTTGGAGAGCAGGTTTGGTGGTGATGAAATCTCTGAGTACTTGCTTGTTCGCAAAGGACTTTATTTTTCCTTCGTTTATGAAGCTTAGTTTGGCTGGATAGGAGATTCTGGGTTGAAAGTTCTTTTCTTTAAGGATGTTGAATATTGGCCCCCAATCTCTTCTGGCTTGTAGGGTTTCTGCTGAGAGATCTGCTGTTAGTCTAATGGGCTTCCCTTTGTGGGTAACCTGACCTTTCTCTCTGGCTGCCCTTAGCATTTTCTCTTTCATTTCAACCCTGGTGAATCCAACGATTATGTGCCTTGGGATTGCTCTTCTTGAGGAATATCTTTGTGGTGTTCTCTGTATTTCCTGTATTTGAATATTGGCCTGCCTTGCTAGGTTGAGGAAGTTTTCCTGGATAATATCCTGAAGAGTATTTTCCAGCTTGGATTCATTCTCTTCATCACATTCAGGTACACCTATCAGACGTAGATTAGGTCTTTTCACATAGTCCCACATTTCTTGAAGATTTTGTTCATTCCTTTTGCGCTTTTTTCTCTGTCCTTGCCTTCTCTTTTTATTTCATTGAGTTGATCTTTGACCTCTGATATCCTTTCTTCTGCTTGGTCAATTCGGCTGTTGAAGCTTGTGCATGCTTCACGAAGTTCTCGTGTTGTGTTTTTCAGCTCCATCAATTCACTTATATTCCTCTCTATGCTGTCCATTCTCGTTAGCATTTCGTCCAATCTTTTTTCAAGGTTCCTAGTTTCTTTGCGTTGGGTTAGAACATGTTCTTTTAGCTCACTGTAGTTTCTTACTACCCACCTTCTGAAGTCTGATTCTGTCATTTCATCACCCTCCTTCTCCATCCGGTCTGGTTCCCTTGCTGGTGAGGAGTTGTGATCCCTTTTAGGAGGAGAGGTGTTCTGGTTTCGGGAGTTTTCTTCCTTTTTGTGCTGGATTTTTCCCGTTTTTGTGGGTTTATCCACCTGTTGTCTTTGTAGTTACTGTCTTTCAGATTGGGTCTCTGAGCTTCTAGTTTGTGGATGCTGAAGTTACTTCTTTTTTTTTTTTTTTTAAGCTTTCCTTCTAACAGTCTGGCCCCTCTGCTGTAGGACTGCTGAGGTCCTCTCCAGGCCTTGCTTGCCTGGGGATCACCTGCAGCTGCTGCAGAACAGTAAGGGTTGCTACCAGTTTCCTCTTCCACTATCTTTGTCCCAGAAGGATGCTTGCCAACTGTCAGTCCGTTCTCTCCTTTATGAGGTGAGTCTTTGGATCTATGGGGGTCAGGTAGCTACTTGAGGAGACAGTCTATCTTTTATTGGGGTTTAAGTCCTGAGCTGTGAGCTCCGTTGTTCGTTCAGAGCTGCTGGGCAGGTACAGTTTAGGTCTGCTGCAGCTGAACTCATAAAGCACTTTTTGTTCCCAGGTGTTCTGTCCCGGGGAGTTGGGGCTTTATGAGTTTCCGTTGCACTACTGCCTTTTCTGATTTTTCTTTGTCTGCCCCGCACAGCTGGCAGCACACCTAGCCACTGCCTGCCTGCAGGGCTTTGTTGAGCTGCTGTGGGCTCCGCCCAACTGCCCTGCACTCTTCCCTGCAGTCCTGTTTATATGGGCATAGTTAGAACTGTCTGGGGGGCAACGGTGGCCCTGCCTCTGTTATGGCGGACTCTCTCTGTTGTGGCAGGTTGCCTCGGCAACGGCGGCCTGCCTCCGTAGCGGTGGAGAGTCTCAGTAATGGCGGAAGCCCCTCCCCCACCGAGCTGACCGTCCCGGGTTCAGCTGTGCTTGGTTTGAAGGGCTCAACCCAGAGGGTTTCCAATCACTGTTTTTGTTTTCGTTGTTGTTGGGGGTGGAGTGGTGGGACCAACAGAGGCTGATCACCTGGCTCCCTGACTCAGAGCCTTTTCTTTTAAGTTGAACGACCCCACGTTCCAGTCGCTTGTTGAAAAGGCGCCGGGATCTCCCGTGCTGCGACTCACTGAGTCGGCTCAAACAGCGGCGCCGGCTCCTGGCGGATTTTTTGCCTAGGAATCTCCTGGCCTGGCTCACTATTTCTGATGAATGGGCAACTCTGCCGTCTCAGGGCTCTGCTCGCCAGCTAAGAGGGCTCCCAGACCAGTGGCTTTTGTACGGAGAACCGCAGCAACCAGGCATGGTCACAGCAGCTGCGCGGGCCGAATCAGCCCCGCAGGGGCCAAAACAGCCGCACCTGCCGGGACTGCGGCGCTGGCGAACCCTCTGCCTGGGTATCTCCTGGTCTGTGGGCAATAAAAATTCATCTGGAAATGCGGCATCCACTCACCCTCTGCACTTTCACTGGGAGCTGAAGCCCTGAGCTGTTCTTAGGCAGCCATCTTCCCAGCATCCCCAATAGAATTTTTTTTAACAAAAGCAGGCAGCCAGCCCCTGAGTCGGTTGCTGTTTTGATTTTTTTTTTTTTAATATTTAAATGTCATGTATCTTGATTACTGAGTTTTTTTCCTGCCTTCTAAAATTGTGTGCTCTAGGTGAGTGCCTCACTTCCTACATTGTAGTCTGGGCTCTGGTGTGTAGGGTTTTTTAAAAAAAAAAAAAAAAAAAAAAAAAAAACTTAGAGCTTCAGAACTGTAAAATTCAAATCATAGTTTTAGTCGAGACCTTTGGGGCCATCATGTTCAACCTTCTATGTAGTTACAAATGCTTTCTAAGCACCTTTTTTAAATGTCAGAGATTGTAGTTTTTCCTTTAATAGCCTATGACTGATATATATGCACACGTGGAATTTTTGACATTTTACAGGAACACTAAACCTTGACTTCTGCGACTTGAGGGCACTTTATTAAACAACAAAACCTCTTGCCTAGAGATCTTTGAGTTGGTCTTTGACTTGCTGTGGTTTAGAGGGTGCACTTGCTTTTCTGTTTATGTTCATTTCTTTTACACTCAAGGTTTTTCCTAACTTCCTTTGACGATTTTTCTGAGGGCAAATTTTGACCATCCTAAAAACAAGGAACATCTCAGGAAATTGTTTTTTTTGCTGCTTTTAAATATTGATGGGATTCTGGCAGTGGAAATATAATTAAAATCACAGCAGTTCTCAGCTCCTTTTTATAATAAACCTTTTATCCCTTTACATAACCTGCCACTGCCTTTCCTTGTTTTCCAGGGTTAAATGGCAGGGAGCCATTTGGCTTAACCAGCTGTACCTTGGCAGGGCTTGCTATGAATCAGATGTCCTTTTCCTCCTCGAAGGCAGGATGTGTCACTTACTTAGACTCACCTCACATTTCAATTTGCAAGTGAGCATGTGGCTTCTGTGCCTTCTATTGGCAGCAGTTGATATATTAACCTAAATGATAGCCTTTGAATATGTAATTATTGCAGCTCTTCAGGGCTTATCCTCCACCCCTCTCCCATTCCTGAACTCCCTATACCTCTAATTCATTTTGTGAATCTTCAAGGTAAAATATTCACACCAGGATCACAAAGGGAAGAATAACTCCCATAAGGCAACAGTCCCCAACCTTTTTGGTACCAGGGACTGCTTTCATGGAAGACAGTTTTTCCATGGGACAGGGTTGGGTGAGAGGATGTTTTCAGGATGAAACCGTCATCTCAGATCATCAAGCATTCGTTAGATTCTCAAAAGGGGTATGCAACCTAGATTATCTCACATGCATAGTTCACAATAGGATTTGCGCTCCTTTGAGAATCTACTGCTGCTGCTTATCTGACAGGAGAAGGAGCTCAGGTGGTAATGCTCACTTGTTTACTACTCACTGCCTGCTGTGGGGCCTGGCTCCTCACAGGTCATGGACTGGTATGGGTCCACAGCCCAGGGTTTCAGGACCCCTGCCTTAAGGAACTAAGAGCAAAATAATAGGTTTCTGGTGAAACAGTGGGCTAAATAGTGACCATGGCAAAGCTTCAGGCTTCAAGAGCTCACTGGATTGTTGATTGTCCCCAGAAGGGCATGCATGTTGATTAATTTTATGTGTCAATTTGACTAGGCCACAGTGTGTGCCCTGATACTTGACTAAACATTATTCTGGGTATCCACAAAGGTGTTTCTAGCTAAGATTAACATTTGATTCAGCAGATTAAGTACAGCAGACAGCTTTACTCACTAGTGTGGCCCTCATCTAATTAGTTGAAGGCCTGTGTAGAACAAAAGCCTGGCCCTCCAGCCAGTAAGAGGGATTTCCTGGTTCCTGACAACCTGGAGCTGAGGCATCAGTCTTTGACTGTTTTCAAACTAGAATTGAAACAACAGCTCTTCTTGGTTTTGGAGCCTTTCATATTTCAGACTAGAACTTAGGTCTTCAGTTCCTCTGGTTCTCAGCTCTTGGATTCAGACTGCAACTATACCATCAGCGGTCACTCGAGTCATTTTCCATCCTGTGTTCAGTGTTATGGTCTCTGCTTCAGAGGATGCTACAATTAAGGTGTGGGATTATGAGACTGGAGATTTTGAACGAACTCTTAAAGGACATACAGACTCTGTACAGGACATTTCATTTGACCACAGCGGCAAGCTTCTGGCTTCCTGTTCTGCAGATATGACCATTAAACTATGGGATTTTCAGGGCTTTGAATGCATCAGAACCATGCACGGCCATGACCACAATGTTTCTTCAGTAGCCATCATGCCCAATGGAGATCATATAGTGTCTGCCTCAAGGGATAAAACTATAAAAACTATAAAAATGTGGGAAGTGCAAACTGGCTACTGTATGAAGACATTCACAGGACACAGAGAATGGGTACGTATGGTACGACCAAATCAAGATGGCACTCTGATAGCCAGCTGTTCCAATGACCAGACTGTCCGTGTATGGGTCGTAGCAACAAAGGAATGCAAGGCTGAGCTCCGAGAACATGAGCATGTGGTAGAATGTATTTCCTGGGCTCCAGAAAGCTCATACTCTTCTATCTCTGAAGCAACAGGATCTGAGACTAAAAAAAGCGGTAAACCTGGGCCATTCTTGCTGTCTGGATCCAGAGACAAGACTATTAAGATGTGGGATGTCAGTACTGGCATGTGCCTTATGACCCTCGTGGGTCATGATAACTGGGTACGTGGAGTTCTGTTCCATTCTGGGGGGGAGTTTATTTTGAGTTGTGCTGATGACAAGACCCTACGTGTATGGGATTACAAGAATAAGCGATGCATGAAGACCCTCAAGGCGCATGAACACTTTGTTACCTCCTTGGATTTCCACAAGACGGCACCCTATGTGGTCACTGGCAGCGTAGATCAAACAGTAAAAGTGTGGGAGTGCCATTGATTACGTCTCCTTTGGCCCCTCCTCCCTCTTTTCCTCTGGATGCACTCTGATGATACCATGGTTACCCCATTGAGCTCTGTTTAAATAAATATTGTCCTTTCATGTAAATTAAAATATATATATATATCCTTCCTGGTATGTGAAATAAAACAAGTACTTGTTAAATGAGTGTGTACAGGGACCCATGTGTTCCTTATCTTAATTACAAGCCTCAAATTGTTAATCAGCCAACCACCTTCTTGATACTGGAAGGGAGGCAAAATCCATTTTCTCCATGATAAAAATCCCAACTACATGATGCAAAATTAAGATCCACCAATTATATAAAGGTCATACATTCAATTCCCCACGTGTCTGTGGGAAACATGAAAAAGGGTCATTGCGTGTCCCCTCCGCCACAGAAGCACCACACCTGTATATTGCATAGTCAGACACCACTTAGGATACTGGACTTCTTTCAGCTACCTAAGGAAGAATCAGCTAAGACCCAGAGTGTTTCTTAAAGTTTTTCATGTCAAGACTCATGCAGAAAATATTTTATATATTGATTGTATTAGTGACCAGAGATGATGCTGTATACCAGGCCTCTCCTGGTGGTGATAAAGGCTGTCAAATCAGTATCTGAGCACCTGAAACCTATGTGCAGTGTTCCAGTAGCTGGAAACTCTGGCCTAGACAGTGTAGGTGATTTTTTACTATTAGAAGAAAAACTAAATAAATGCCTTATTTGTGGTAAGAAATATTCTTTGGGAGATGGCTCAGAATATTGCTTCATTGATGGACAATTGCATGGACAACTTTATTTTAGGAATGCCTGGCTTACCTCCATGAAGAGGCTTTTAAAAGGGGGCTCTTATCATTGATGGCCTCATGTCTCATATGGTGGATTTTTCTAAGTAATTAAAGGCAAAGCTGCTTGCTACTACACACAAAGCAAATAACTGTTTTGTCATGGAATAGCACATCTTAGAACACTGAAAGAATATATAAAACTCTTGTAAATCAAGAGATCCTGGAAACAAAACTCAGCATTGGACACATCTTTCCAGTTTTAAATTAGACTTCCTGATAACTCATGCAGGAAGAAGCCACTTCTAGTTTCTTCTTGACAAACTTCCTGTATTCAGAGTGATGGATGTCAGGGCCCAGCTTTGTAATTAAACCATCAGATGAGTTGCAAAGTTAAATACTTGGCAAAGAGAAATATAGCATTCAAACTACATATGGCATGTTAATGCTCTTATTTTGAAATGCTTAAAAATTTCAGATCTAAAGCTGCATTGGGGACTTTGAAGATACTTAAATATACTTTTCTAGGGAACTAGGATATCTCCTAAGAGGTGTCAGAAATGTCCAAGTATAGGGCGTTTATTGAGTATTTGCTCTGTGCAAGGCATTGTTTGACAGTTTACTCCTCTACAGCATCCATAAGAAATAAATTATTCTCCTCATTTAAGGATGAAACTCAAAGAGACTCAATAACTTGCCCAATAAACCATTTAAGTGAGTAATAGAGCCAAGATGTGAATTGAACCCAGGTCTCCTTTTTAAAGAAATCCGTTTGTTTAACTGCTGTCAAACTCTTTCCCAATACAGAGCTCCCCACAGAACTTTAAATACTTGGCAAGGTTACAGGAAAGAAGTAGAAGTATGGGATGATGTGTTGCTTTATACAAACCATTGAATTTTTTTCTATCCCTTCATTTCTGTAATCTATATGCTTTTATCTCATAAACTGGCATATAACAATTATAAAAGGAAAAATAAATCTCTTTTAGTTTAAGCATTTTGAAAGTGATCCATCATCTTAAATTAATGTTACTAGGTAGTAACAAAGCCATTTAGTTTCTTATCCCCTGTTAACACTGCCCCCTTTTTAAAGCTATGAATGTGTTTTGCTCAGATACTTAACATTTTGTTGAATTTCAGTGTTCTAGAAATAGTTTACTATTCTTTAAAAAACATTAGTGCATAGTGCTGTTGCAGCCAAGATGATTGGTACCATTAGGAACGGCCCTGTAAGCGAACGTGATGTAGCTCACACTTTCTCAAATCCGCAACAAGAGTATTTCAGATAGTTAGCGTCATTGTGTCTAAAGAAAGCTGATCACATGCTTAACAAGTCCCAGGATATGAAAATCTTCCTTAACTTAGTGTCTGAACAAATGCGAGTACTTTGTGTCATGGTTTCTACATGTATATTCATAAACTTTGCAGATTGACCATAGATTATGATGAAACAATAACTGGGACATGAATCTACAGGTTCTATGTTACAGAGGCCAAATGTTTTTGCTGCCAGTGTCAGAAAACAAACCCAGCTGGACTGAGGCAATTTGTCAAATCTAATTTGGGCCTGAAGTGGAAATGTCAACTACCTAAGTGTAATATAATGGACAAAGGTTGACCTGTGAATGCAGAAGCCAATATGGTAATAGTATGATATTTGACTTTGGAATCAAACATACTTGCTTGGGTTAAATCCTTGTTTTCAACACCTGTGTGTCCTGAGAACTTGGCTAAGTAATCTCCCTGAGTGAATTCTGTCTGCTAATAAGATTATGCCAATTAAATGTACCTAGAATGTTATAGAGGCTCTTCTTTCAACATCAAAATATGTGTAAGAATCATGGAGGATTAAGGACATATTACTGTCAAATGCACATTTTTGGCCATGAAGTGCAGATGTCTCCCTGCCCTTTTATTCTTTTACCTCTAGATCTACACTACTTAAGCAGTGTTTTAGGAAATAAATGGTGAGCAGGGGGCCATCATTTATGTTGTAGAAAATGGTGAGCACAGGACTTTCTTACTCTCATTTCTTTCTGAGAAGTGATTAAGGAAAAAAAAATCGCAAAGTGCTTGCTTCTACAGTATGAGTAAACATTCTGATTTTGATTATGACGCCTTCCTAAAAGGTGAAAAAGATGGTAATGAGTCTTACATACATTTTGGGAAATTCTAATATTCTGTAAATTTGCCTTTATTAAATAGAGGGCAGTTGGATAGTGTTTATTTTTGTGCCACTCATTCATCATTCTAAATAGTGGTGGCAAATTTCTGACAATTTACTGTACAGATGCTCCTTGACTTGTGATGGGGTTATGTCCTGATAAACCAATCATAAAATAAAAAAAGTCAAGTGGAGTCATCCTAAATTGAGGACTGTCTGTAAGGTGACAGAGGAATTTCAGGAGGCCTTTTCTTTCTTTAACCCTTAGAGGAGTTACTTCTGTTTGAAAGAAGTTTTTACATCTGCATTTTCAAACAATGCCAGACAAATACCATCAGTCAAGTAAATACAGAGATAGCCATTACTAAAATTCATTGATAAAAGGATCTCCACACCATGAATCAGTTCCTTCTTTTATATACACAGGCAATTTCAAATATGTAAACAATGTACTCTTAAGAACTGTATCGGAAATTTGACCCTTAGACATGTACATCTGGCACATACATGCAGGAAATGAAGCCTTTGGCAACCTTTTTCTGGGATCTAAATATTTGGCTCTTGCAGACAGCAGTTTCCTGCGCTTGTGTCTCATCCTGCTTTTCTGGTCCTGTGTTTTGGCATGAGGCAACCTTGCTCCCATAAAAGGTATCTGAAAGATGTGGAGGCTTCTTGTGCGTCCCTGCACACAGAATGGATGTGGAAACCACATGGGGTTCATCTCATAAAGCATCTGCATGAGCCGTAGGGAGTTACGGCAAGTTCCATAGAGAACTCAGTGTACTGGAAAGAAAGCTGCACAATGGGACCTGAAAAGACTACATAGTTTTCTCATCTGGTAACGGGACTGTCAGGAAGACAGGGTAGCAAGCAGTATTTTGCAATTTACCCTGCTGTTTGTTCCTTCCTCTGTTTAAGGCCCTTGGAGTACCCTGTCGATCGGGATTCTACCTCTCTGCCTTCCTGTCTCTGCAGCGAACCCCCCTTTCTCTTTCTAGTTAGGTGCTCTAGAATTGTGTTAACGACATTAACTACCCTGGTGGGTAGGCACAGCAGCCCGCAGCCACTCCAGCCCCACTGCCAGCCGCTGCAGAACTCAGCTACTGAAATCAATTTGTTGTCAACAGCTGTTCGTCTCTGCTCATTCAAGAGCTTATAGATCATGCCTCCCCTCCTTCTTTGGGAGGTTAACCCTGCCCAGGTACAGGGGAAATGAGTAGCTCTGCTAAGATTTCAGACTCTTTTTTTTCTTCATGGCATGCTGTCTTCCTCATTGCTGTACTATCATTTTACCAGCAGATGAAACCCAGGCGAGATGAATCCAGAGTAGAACTGATTAATCTTGGCCCACTGGAAATAGATGGTTTTCACTGGGTGTCTGCTCCAAACTGAATCCATTTAAGAAAAACCAGTTTGATTGTCTTGAAGACCCATATTCTCTATATGGAAAAAGAAGATGCTTTGAAAGGAAACTATTATGTTAACTACTAGGCTTCTTGACAAGAAAATAAGCATTACGCTGGCTTTTTTTTTAATGAGACCCTTCTGTTTTTATATATTTCTATGGCTGCAACTCATTTCAGCATGTGCAACAATAGGTGACTCCTCTGATAATAGGTATTGAATAAAATGTGCCAAGAAATAAATGCACTGGATATGTCCAGATGGGTTATTTCATGTAACACTGTGTTAGTAAATGTTCTCTGGGGGGACAGGACTAATAGGATAGATGTATAATATACAAAGGGGAGTTCAGTAAATATTAACTCACATGATCACAAGGTCCCACAATTGACCATCAGCAAGTTGAGGAGCAAGGAGAGTCAGTTGGAGTCTCCAGACTGAAAAACTTGGAGTATGGTGTCTGAGGGCAGGAAGTATCCAGCACGGGAGAAAGATGTAGGCTGGGAGGCTAGGCCAGTCTAGTTTTTTCATGTTTTTTCTGCCTGCTAATCACTGACAGCTGATGAGATCATGCCCACCCAGATTAAGGGTGGGTCTGCCACCCCCAGCCCACTGACTCAAATGTTCATAACCCTCACTAACACACCCAGGATCATTACTTTGCTTCCTTCATTCCAATCAAGTTGACACTCAGTATTAACCTTCACAGTCCACCCCTTTGTCAACTTGAACCCATACATATTTCCTGAGA